TTTTTTTTTTTTTGAACTAAGCGTGATTCTTGGCTGTTTTTCTTTTCAGGGTTTCATCTTTCACAGTTTTATACATTTTTTTAGACATGGTCAAAAATGCTTTGTTTGTAACTGCTTAGTAAGTTTAGAGCAAGACTTTAGTTTTACGGAAAAATTCTTACTTTTTACCTCTATTAGTATCACGTTCGCTGTGCTCCAGTAGTTGATTGCAGCACGTTACCGGCAGGAATCGACGGGCTACTGCTGGACATTGCATACTTTATTAGATACCAGTAAGGTAGGTAGCGCATTTTTCGCGCTACCTAGAGAAACGCATGAAGCTGGAGAGAGCTAAACTTGAAGACAGAGAAACAGTCAGTGATCACGCTTAGTGTTTAAAAAGAAAGCCGTAGGTCGGTGTTTTCAGCACCTTCCAGAAGAAGTTGGTATCAAAGAGTAGTGAAATTTTTTGGTTGCTATTGATATTTATCGCGCGTTCTGGAAACTGCCGACGATATTTTCAAAATTTTTTTGCTTTCTCATGAAACCTTGCCTTTTACGTCTTCTTAGGGTTGTGTGAGTAGAACTTTTTTCTGTGTCTTTGCATTGCCTTTAAATTTTACGAAAACTTAGTAAAATGCTTTCTAAATTTTAGGTGTACAGAAATGAGCGGCGACGATGTTCCATCTAAGGCTGATATCCAGCAAATATTCCGTAAATTACGGGCTTCACCAGCAAACAAAGTACGGTTTCGTAATCTTACTCTGTTTTAGCAGAGTTGTTGTCGCAGTAAACTTTTTGTTTCTGATTTGTTAGCCGCTGTTCATGCGTCATATGTGTTATTCTAGTAAATGAGGTTTTCGTTCCGTTTATTACTCCGGGCTTTATTTTAACCAATTTTTGTGATAAAACTTTAGGTATGTTTTGACTGTGGTGCGAGGAATCCGACATGGTCGTCAGTGACATATGGTGTTTTTATATGCATCGACTGCTCATCGGTTCATCGCAATTTAGGTGTTCATATTACATTTGTGCGTTCTACTACTCTTGATACTAATTGGACATGGTTGCAGCTAAGAGCTATGCAAGTTGGTGGTAATGTCAACGCAGTACGTTTTTGTATTGGATTTAGTTTAGCTACTCTTTCTGTAAAATGTTGCTTTCAGTAGAAAGTCTATAATCGTCCAAAAAGTCTGCATAAATGTGCAGTCGCCTGCTCTACATTTTGGAACAGAAAATTGCTGGGTATTTTTGGTTGTATAAGTGAAGTTTCAGGTGCTACCGGTGGTTTTATTCTTACTTTGTTGCTTTTTCAGGTGCAGTTTTTTAAGCAACATGGTTGTAATTCATCTGATGCTCAAGTAAAATATAAAAGTCGCGCAGCAACTTTATACAGGGTAATTTTTGTATTTCTGTTTCTAGTGTTGCCTTCGGTAAAGGAGGTTCCTTATGAGTAGTCTCTTGATTCGTTAAACTTATTTTGTTACGCTACGTTTAACAAGTTTTTCGTCTATTTCTACCGTCTTGTTGTTGTTTTTTTTTGTGAAGCATTCTATTTGACAATTTTTAGGAAAAACTAGCTAACTTAGCTGCTCGAGCCCATCAGAAATATGGCACAAGTTTAAGTATAGGTAATGACGACCCTGAGGGGGCTGGAGAAGATAATGAGGAAGACTTTTTTGACCAGGAATTCGTTGCACATCATAGCAATTCTTCCTCATCAATTAGTCAAGATGCTTTTATACAACGAACGGTTGCGGAAAAAGGTATTTTGGACTAAGGTTTTTTCTGGAGCTACATCTAGCCAGATGCATTATATTGAGTGTAAAAGATATTTCTCAAAGTTGAAACGTATGCCGCATTACCCCTTCAGTCTTCCAGGGTAATGACATTATAGTACCTTCTCATTTTTTTATTTAGGACCGAGCGTAGAGGGTTTGTCACTTCAAGATTCATCGAATAACCAAGAAGACTTGAAAAGTAGTATTATAATGAAGAAACCTGTCAAAAAGTCTACAGTAAGCTTATTTAATTTAACGTTCGAATTAGATGTTTGAGAGTCTAGGAAGTTTTTCTGTTGTTGGATCTTTTGTGCGTAGTTAAGAGCATTTAAATAAAATGAATTTTTTGATATCTTCACACTGCTACTTCTTTTATTTTTATTTTTGGATTAACTAGAGTTACTGATTAAACAAAAAAAAAAAAAACTTATTGGAATTCTTGTTAGATCGTCTGTTTGGTTTGGCAGGAAGGTACAAGTGATTATTATTATTTTTTTGATTTGTTAGGAATTTTATGATATTGTTTGTACATTCAAGCTTATTTAAATCCACCGGCACCTTAAAATTTTCAAAGATACTTCTAAAATTACTCGATTTCCTTTGGTTATTACTTTCTTTGGGTATTAACAGCTTGGAAGCAAAAAAGGCATGGGTGCACATCGTGTAAAAACAAACTTTAACGAACTCGAGAAGAAGGCCGCAAGTTATGACAATGAAAAAAAAGTGATTCTCTCAAATGACGCAAACGCTGAATTAAAAGGAAATGCGGTTGAAAAGACTTCAATACCTTTATCTTCAAAATTAGTAATGAGGGATGTTGAACACAAACAGCTGCAAGCCGAGGTTATTTTATGTTTTTTTCTTTAGTTTTCTGCTTATTTAATCAAAAGGTCTTTCATGGGTTACATGGGTCTAACTTGAGTTTTTTAGGCGAAATTAAAAGCGTCATTAGACTCCAGTAAGGCTGAAATGGTGGATAGACTTGGAATTGGAGTGGGCGGCTTTGGTCGTGGACCTGTTAGTCATTCTGTAGCAAGCGGTATCAAGACAATTGCCCAAGAAGGAGTTTCAAGGGGTTCATCTTCGAAGTCTTTGCCTGTTAAGCGTGATGACGATTGGGAGGTCATTGAAGACGAAAAGAAGTGAGTTTTTCATCAATTTTTTCAGCACTTTTAGCGAAGATAATTAGTCTTGGGAGCAGTTTTAAATGAGTATTCTGGGGAGAATTTACCGTCGCCAATAATTTTAGGGTAGGATTACTTTATCGTAAAAAGTGTTCTAGAAGTGGCGGATTAGGAACTAGGAGATATTTCTAAAACTATCAGTTTTTGCTGTACCTCTTGTTGCCATAGATGTGATAGGATTAGGTATTGCATGGGTTAGTGTTTTTTGTAACTGTGATTTTGTTAAAGTCGTTTTGCAAGTCTCTGATTCTCTTTAAATGTCGTTGATTGCATCCGATGTCTGCGACGTGGTGAACTATCAGACTGAGTATTTCAATAGGTTCAGTTTTGTTAATATTGTCAGATACTGCGACAGTTTTTGCCTACAGAATTATTCAATTCAAGCTTGTGTTACCTGTTTGATGTTTTTCCACTCCAAGACTTTGTGGCCTTCTGTCAGCTTCGTTCTATTGTTATCTAACAAATATCGTCTTTCAGTAATGCAGCAACTTAGTTGACTATTCCTAACTTATGATTCGCGCTGTCGTTGATCGATTTTATTTCTGAGGGGCTTGGGGTTTAGGGACTAAGGAATTTCTTTGAAATATTGTGGAACCTCATTACTTGCATTGGGGAAGGAAATTTCATATGATTATCAAATCAGAGATCCTGATACGATTTATTGATATCACGATTATATATAATTTGTAATGGGCTCGAAATTAATTCGTTGGAGCTGAAGAGTGTTAGTTGAGTGTCAGGTGTCTTTTAGCTCTAAACTATGATTTCATAGTCTTCGTTTTGCTTTTTCAGACAGATACTTTTTTAGAGGCCTAGATTATACGGCAGATCCTGATGACGATCTCTTCAGTGGCAAATATAAGAAAAAGCCACCTAAGGTTGATGAATTTTTTGATTCTTGGGGTGCTGAGCCAGTTAGAAAGAAGTAAGTTTTCTATTTTGCAGTTTGTTTTAAATTTTTTGTTGGAAAGCCAATGACTTCACAATAGAATGTTTAAGACTTTAATGCAGTTCAAAAGTGTTTAGTGGTAAGAATCTAATGATTTATATATCACTTTTTAAGTTCTGTTTAATGTCTAAACATCTGATCAAACCGGTAAGTTTCAGAACGACATCAGTAGGATCTCATCCTCATACTTTACATTTCATTTTTGGGCTCTCTGAAAATGTAGTCGTACGACTGTTCATACAGTTTTGACTCTTGTTCTTTCCAGAATTTTTTTCTCTATTTTTCGTAGTGGACGCTCATAGATGGATTATTCTAAAGTTTGAGAAAATTTATTGTTTTTTTATGCGGGAAGCTGTCATTCAAAAACTGAGTCACGGGAATTTGTAATTTTAAAGTAACTTTGTGGCTAGTTTTTCCAGAGAAGGAATATTGCAGAAATCAAAGGTTACTTGTCTAAATTTTTTTAAGACTGTAGAGCGAGCGTAAGTATTTTTTATGCAGAGTGGAATATACTGCTTCTTAAAGTGAATATGCGGTTTTTGAATATTTTTATTAACTTTTTCTCGATATTATGGTTCTTTTTCTAGCACCAGGCCACCTCAGGTAGTTAATGAGACCTCCAGTGAGTCGGAAGCGCTTAAAAAATTTACCAATGCAAAGGCTATTTCATCTGACCAATTTTTTGGTGGCTCTCAAGTCGATGTAAGCTTTTTTCAGTTGAGTGGTACAGTTCATGTTATTTTTACTAGATAAGACTTGCTGTATTTGGAAGTCAGATTTATTTTTTTTTCTTATGGTTTTTTTTTTAGTATGAGACTCAAAGCCGCCTTAACCGTTTCGAAGGTTCAACGGGGATTGGGAGTGCAGACTTGTTTGGTAACGGTGAAACACAGTCAAGTTCATCGTATAGTAGTCAAATGCCTGAGATGTCTGATATCAAAGACAGCATGCGTATAGGTGCTATGAAAATTGCAGGAAAATTGTCTTCTTTGAGTAGTTCAGTCTCCTCGTATTTATCAGTAAGTTTATCTCGGTGTTTTAAAACTTATATTTCTCCATTATCGAAGGGATGTACAGAGGTTTTTCCCGCAGAAAATTTTAGAAATTCGTAACTTTTAACTTTAGAGCAGCGGACCTGTTTGTTTTTTATAGTTTATTTATTAGTCATTACTTACAAAAGTTCACTGTGCAAGAACAGTTTTCTGGGTTTTCCCGGGCGGTTTTAGTTTGCATCATATGACTGGTTAGTTTTCGGGCCCATTTCTCATATCTCTTCCCTATTACCGTCGTTTTACTAAATATTTTAGCAGGGAGCTGCAGTTTTTAAATCCGTAAGGTTTTTATCTTGTAAAGACTATCTTGTAGTCAAAACAAAACTATCTTGTGAAGAGATATATTTCTAAGTTAATGTAAAACATTTTGCCAGGATGTCAAAAGAGAAAAAAAAAGCAAATTTAGTGAGGTAACTTGCTTGCTAAAAAAACTGTTTCTGAAATGTTTTACCGGTCTCTCAGACTCACTTTTCTAAAAATATTTTGATCTTATTCCTTTATTTCAATCTTTTTCCCACATCCTGTTAACGACTGTTTTTTGATTTCGGAAGGGCTTTCTGGAAATATAGATGAAAAAGCGGGATAAAGCTTTTATCTTGAAAGTCTCAAATTTTTACGTGTTTAAACATTTCATAGCAGTCCTCACTCGGTGTTTTAGTTTAGAAGAAGAACTAAAAGCTTGAAAAGAAATCAAAAGGTTTTATAATTTTGGGAGGTGATGCAGTTAGGATTGAATGGCACTGATTTGAAAGCGGTTAGATTTGTTTGTGGGGAATAGGTGTAGTAATCAGGCTATCATAAATGAACAAGAAGCGAAAAAATTTTACAGCAGAGGATGGGGAAGGCATTCAGTTAGTCATTGAAATCTGTAACTTATAGGTCTTAATGGCTAGAACTGCAGGAATAGCTTATAAAATTCTTGAAGTCTTTTTGGTGTCAGTGGCCGAACTTGCCACACCAAGCTGAAATTATCATGTCACATAACTTGTCACCCAAATTATTGTAACCGTTTTTTATATTTGACGTTTTGGTTTTCTTGAAGCTTTGTTATTATCCGCTTGTTTTTATTTCTTCCTCTCTTTCAATATTTTTAAGAAATACGAAACTGGTCATTTTGCTTGTTTTTTACTGTTACTGAAATTCGACTGCTGTGTAAATTTATTCTTGTAAAATAATAGCTTTTCAGTTTTTCTGATTAAGAAGGCGCTCCGATTGGTTAACCTTCTTTAATTTCCTTGCATTTCTCGTTCTTGTATAATTTCGCCTTCGCTTTTTGCCTAGTAGTTTTCCTTTATTCGTCTTCCGTACTGGTTGGAACTCTAATATGAGTGTAAAAATGTTACATCCTTTATACATTAGAACTGAGTTTTATCTTTTTAATTTCGTGTGATATGGTTATAAGTTTTTTATTCTTAGTTATTAGAGGTTGCAGAGACATTTTTTTTTTCTTGTTAAGGTCAGAATAATTTAAATTTGAGCTAAAGTCTGAGAAGTCGTTTTGAAAAGAAGCAAAATCATTAAAAAATTACGTTTTTGGTTTTGTGAAAAGGTTTGTTTTCCCTTCGGTTATTCTCGTCGGAATGAAATTTTAGCTTGATCGTAAATGTACAGTTGATTTAAATGGTTTTCAGCGTCAGCCTTCGAAGACGTGAATACAGGTCAACTCAATTTTGACTTCTGTGTTGTTTTTTTTAAATGAAACTTTTGTGGTGTTGTTGGAAACCTGCATCTTTCTTATTGGTTATCAGTGTCACTTTATTATGGTGGATTCAAGTGTTGGTCTTATTTTTCTGAGGTTTAGCTGCGCTTTTAGTGAGGCAACTGGTAAGAAAACAACTGTTTTCTTTTTTGCTTTCATCTGCGTCTGTATCCTCTTACGTTTTGCTATTTTTTGTTGGCTTGGACTAACTTGGACACCTGAAGATAGTGTTGCTTTAATCTTCTCCCACTAAGCGGCAGTGGCTTTGAAAAGTCCTGTTTTTTCTTTGTAAAGTACTTCTTGGTCCTGTTTATCTTCAGGCTGTTCCACGTAGCATTAATGCTCGGCTAGTTCTTTCCAGCTCTGTAACTTTTTTTTTTGCTTTTTAACAACTCATCCTAGTTGAAATTCGTAATTGTTTTAACCTATGAGTAGTTAGTGAGCTCGCAGCCTGAGTTCTTGTAGGTTTATAAAAAAGGAAGGTTTTTTTGATTAGGCACCATTAGTAATCGTAGCAAGTTGTATTGTTTTCATTAATTTGTAGTGAGAAACAGACGGGTTTTGTAACTCTGATTTTTTTTTGCTGAGGTAGGCAATGAACTGTCCTTGATTGTGCAAAGGCCATAGACTTAATTTTCTTTGATTTTTCATTTTACTCGAAATGTTTCAACGGCTTGGAAGTATTTGTCACGAGTTTTTAAAGGTACATATTTGGCATTTTTGGAACTAAGGCATCCTCGCTACATCAGAAAGCTTTTTCTGAAATAGTAAAAATCCCCATTCTTTGATGTACCTACTCGGGAATCTAGCAAAATTGGATGTGAAAGTTAAACACAAAAAAAGCTTCGACAGTTGTTGCTTCATTGTTCTGGAAGTTGCGCAAATACTTTCGAGTTCTTTGTTTTACTTGCCAGTGCTTGGTTTCTGGGCAATTTTCTTTGCTTTTTTTCCTAATCAACAAAGAATGCACTTCTTTCACAACCTGTGCAATGTCAATGGTACTAACGCCCCTGCGTTTCTGTTTCTAATTGTATTTTTTTCAGGACCGTTATTAGCTCGCCTTTTAGAGAAGGGATGTAGCAAAAGAAAAGCCACTGTGCTTTGTGATATGCCTTTTCGATCTGCTTTCTCTTTAAAATCTAGCCGAGTTTGAGAATTCGGTCTCCTCGGCTTGTTTGGAAGTTTTTCTGGAAATAATTTATTAAGCTGGTCTTTCATCTCAAAACCCTTTATATCTAGTAAGTGAACTGTGCCTAAATATAGCATTTGAATAGCTGTCTTCTCCCTGCATTATGGCTTGATAGTAAACGCTGTTTATTGTTATGCCTCCAGTAGCAAAGCTCAGCACTGTACTAATTCAGAAGTCCCATCTTTACGTGTACTTTGCTTACTTGTATGGGCTGACAGTAGTGAGTGTTGTGAGATGTGACGTAGCTAAGCTTCTGTTTGTCGGCACAGAGAGACGTTGTCGTGCTTCACTCTGGTCTGCTATAAAGAATAGTCCGCTCCGATGTATCGTTCTTTTCATGTCACTTAACTTTTCTGATGCTGTATACAACTTTGAATAAATTTTATGGGAGGGGTGATATTTGTGCCGTAGCTTATTTAGCGTCTAGCAAACGCATAAAATATGAAATAAGAATTAAGAGGCTTATTCTGGTCGCATAAAAAATGAAGAGATCACCGTCGTAATAAAAAATGAACCCGCATATTGTGGAGATCGCAGTTCCGTAGACACTATGAATGAATCTCAGCCAGCCTTAGAGATTGCACAACGTCCAGCGAGATGACTCCCAAGCAGTCGTCCGTGCTGCTGTTCCTCCAAACATCTATAAACTTCAGCAACTGTTCCAGTTGTTGCCCTCCAAACCTTTGACTGCCATATAAGACATCCTGTAACTGGGGGAGTAAAGTGGCATTCAAATTGGTACAACTTCTAAAAGTGGAATTGGTTGCGAATATTGATGCTGTAAAATATCACGCCGAAGAATAAGGTATTTCATCAACAAAGAAGCTCGCCTTCACAAAAGACACGTGGTAATCGAATGCCGCTAGGCTCCCGTGATCCGACTGGAAGAAACGAATGCGACTGCAGAGATCGTCAAGGTCCCTTTCCAGTGTTAAAGTTCTTTTAGCAGTCAAATCGTTGGAAGTTATGACTTCGAACCGCATTGTACTCAAAGCCTCTAGCTCATCTTTTGTCAGGTTTTGAAGATCGCATGCATCTTTCACCGGCTCCTCCTTCTCCATCACATTTTTTGTAGCCAAAAGAACGGTCCCTAGTCCATTTCTAAAAAGTTATGAACATGATTCAAAAATCAGGAAAGATTCAGGAATCTTGTGCTAAGGAAACGCTCTAAAATAGAGTCTAAAGCTGCGAGATGTGGCTGTGGGTCTGAAGCGGTATTTCAAAAAACTACTGGTTCCTACGGAAACAGATCATACAAAGTTTTTTGTGAACGGCTCATGTGTGCAATGAACTTATAATAAAAAATGGGGTCAATACCTTTTGCATCATCCTTTTATGCGAATTGGGTTCAATTTACAACTGACAAAAAAAAAGCATAAAGTCACATACTTTCCTGATACGACCATTCGCATCTTTCCATGATTGGAATAAATTATCTCACGAAATTTTGCAACATCCTCAGCTATCTTCACATTAAACACTTTTGATTCATACCCAGGACACTGGACTTGAATCTGCAATTATCTGTATTTCAAGTAATCAAGAACAGCCTAGGAATGTTTCAAAATTTCTCGAAAGAACTCATCTCCACAAAAGTCGAAGATAACATCACAGACCTGTCTTTTTAATAAACTGTTTCAAGAAATGGAAATCTGCCAAACACCGAAAAATGCAACTCGGTCGAGGGATTTTTAAGGGAAATTGAACATTAGATAAAATTTTAGTGTACCTTATCCAACAACTGCAATTCGGGAATGAGACATGGAGTCTTTGTCGCTATTAAGCAGCGCTCTGTTGTTTTAGTTTGCTGAAAGTGGTGAAACCTCTCATTTTTCGAAGCAACTTGACATAAACCTTGACTTACAGGAAACAAATAACCAACCTTGTACGTAAATAAAACCTCAGCCTCTAGAAAGATCTGAGAATCGGCACAGACAGGTGCTAAAAGCCTCTCTTCAGCAGCAATTGTCCAGAGGTATCTAAGCGGTTGTAAATACATCCTGAAGACAAATGTAAAAAAGTAAATCATAAATAAGATGATCACAGAAGTGGTACGGTCGAGAAATACGAATAATTACGCTGAATAAATTTTGTACCTATTGTCATTTATACCATGAGGACAAACAGGAAAGAATGCAATCACAAGTGCAGCTACAGAAAGGTCAGAAGTAGACAACCCATACCTGAAAAAACATATTCTGCAAATGGCGATAGATAACAGAGTTTAAAGGCATAAAAATCAAAAATTCATTAAAGCAAACCCACATCAGAGTAGCAGACTTATTCGCCAAACCTTTTTTTAAATTTTGACGATAAGTGCAACCCAACTACATATTTGAAAGTGAAGGGAAAACTTAAAGTGGATTTCTCGTTAAACTGTAATTTGTGAACATTCAAAAATCTCTCATCTATTCTTCGATCAAGGATTTGTTTTCACAGCTTTTTTGCAAGTGCATAGAACTAGCCAACTTCGGATTTAAACAAATGTTTATTTCTTGCAACCACAAAACTTTTTGACAGTGAAATACAACCTCAGTAAAAGCAGTGGTGATTGAACTTTGATAAGGCGCTCGTATTTAGCTCTTGACTCAGAGATTTGTTACTGCAAAAAACTTCTCTTATATTCTGTATACTGTTGCACATAAGTAGTTTACTCATTTGAGTGATTTGGCTTTAGGTAAGTGTTGTATAAACCCTCTAGTTCTAAATTTATAAGAAATAAGCTTTCAACTAAATTCAAAATCAGCTGATTCCCCTGCATATGCAATAAAGCTGCAAAACATAAACCGGCGGAAGACATCATCTTTTCAGCCTCTTCCTTCACCTTTTTAATTCAGGAATGAGGTCCTAGCAGTCAGGAAAATCTAGAAAAATTTTGGAGCAATGATAAAAAAAAATAAGGAGTTTGACGACTAATCACTCATTATCATATATAAAAAACTCTTGTCATTTGCAAGTGAGTTCTCGACTACAGAACTGCACCAAAAAAATATCTTGCTATAATCCCTAAGAGGCAGGCAAATGATAAGGGATAAAACAGTGGTATTGAAACACCTTGCTCGACCGAGTATAAGAAGCCCTAATGTCATGTGAGTTGCAACTTGGGTACTGTAAGCCATAGCATCACGATGAGCATCTCTAACAAGAACTCTATTCCTCAAATAGTGACATATGCGAATAACTTGTAAATTGCCGCTTCCTGCCATCAACTGAAAAAAGAAGGTCAGAAAAAATTTTCAGAAAAAAAGCAAAAACTAAAGTGGTACAAGATCACCACTCAAAAAGCAGCACTCTTCTGAATAAAAGCGACATTAATAGAATAAAAACCGCTTACAATTCCCAAAGAATATACGATTGTATTTAACGAAAGTGCACAAATATATCGTCCAGCAGTACTGCATAGTTCTTTCGCAGAATTCTCCCGCGAATCTTCAGGAAGTACGAGAGAAAGATAGAAACTCTATAAATTAAACACATAAACAGTAAATGCTTCAAAGAACTTATACTTCAGGTTAATGACAGAAAATCGTGCTCAATGATAAGCTTAAAAAATTTAAAACTAAGATATACTACCAAATGGAAATTGAAGAAGAACTAACTTTCTAAAGAAAACTTACGAAGCAAGAATGTTTAAAAGAAAACATCTCAGGTTTTTTAGCAGACTGCAAAAGCTGTAGCAAGCCCTTAGAGAATTAAATTATAAGTTGTTGAAAAAAATTCCACCTTTCAAATGCACTTATTCATATTTTATAATTTTAATAACGACACTCGACCTTCAACAGCACCACACGAAAAATAAATGACAAAAACAATAAAAAGTAGCTTTTAAAAAAAAGGTACAAAAAACACCCAAAAATACAAGAATTTTCCGACAAGTCGCAATAGGGGATCGGAATTTAGGAACAGTCAAGCAGAAGAAAGACCCATTGCCTTTTAAACTGCTTAAATATTTTTAAAATGAGAATCTTGAATTTGGATTTAAAATAAGGAAAGCTCCAGAAAATGCTTTAGCTAGAAAAGCTAAATTTTACAACGCAAAATAGCTTCATTAAGTAAGAAATCTTCGGCAACTTTAAACGTACAATAGTTTCAAAAGCAACGGCATTTGAAGTTGAAGCGAAGCGAAGGGCAATAGCAAAACAGGCACCAGATATAATAGACAAATATGCCTACAATGATAGGTTACGGATAACACATTAAGACAGTAAATAAAAAATGAGTCTCTGTTTTTTCAAATAAGTGTTGATAGAAAATTTAAAAGACTTGTGTGATAATAAACAATCCAGATAAAGGCTAAATAGACTACAACTAGCGATAGATAAAGCCCAAAAAGTGCAAAGGTGCTTTAATAAATACCTGAGCGATGCTTTCAGGATCAACAACGTACCGTAACTCGCTGTCCAATTTTCCCGTTCTCTTACTGTCAAATATACTTTTCTTATGCAACAAAATATTATCCGGAACAAGGCTCTCCACCCATTGTCGCGAAGGATAAATGTCCTCCCAAAGAATAAGTGACCGTGAAAGAGTCCTGGACATAAAATAAAGCTCTTAACAGATCAAAAAAAATTTCATTACTAAGCTGTCTCCACAAAAAAGCTGAAACACCTCTCTACTACAAAATTTGCTTGATTTCACGCCAAAAGATTTGTTAAAAATTGAAGAAATCCAATGAAGAATCTGTAAGTACCATAGCAGAAGCACGTCAGGTCTTATTTCTTCAATTTCCCAAAGCGTGGCTGGTAACTGTAAGCAGTTTGCAGCGAATTTGTTCCCAGTCTTTAAATACATTAAACCAAAAGCAATAGTCGCAGCATTTGCTAAAAGACATTTAAACTATTCACGAAAGTTCACTCAGTTGAGAAATGGCATAAATAAAAAGTTCAGGCCTTACCCGTTAGGTGGGGATTAACATTTTCCGTTTCTCTAAAATGGTTGGACAACTGAGGAGCAGATGTAACAGTCAAAGGATAAGAGACTGGCTCTCTTAAAGTGGTTGGAAAATAGCAAAGTGAGCGTAAACCCCCTTTTATCAAAACCAGTAAACGATTTGCTAAAGAAGGTATTCTTTCTTCAAACGGATGATTAGAACACAATTCTTCTCCACGACCTAGAATTTCATTATTTAAATAAGAGAATAAAAAGGGGGAAATTCAGAATATGCACCTGCAAAAAATAACTCTTCGCTTATGCAATGTTCTTGCGATGAAGCATAAACGTTACGTACGTATTGAAATCCATCATTAGTTTAAATTACTTCTACGCTTTTCTTGCTCAATCATCCGAAGACATCACCAGAGACCAAGTAATAAGGTTGAGATAAAAACTATCTAAGCCTTTATAACTAGAAGATTTCACAAAATACGAAATTAATACCCAGAGAAATAAGACCGATGGCAAAGCCTGCCGCAAGCGTATATGAATACCGGTCAGTTAATGGTTCTTGGTCAGGAACTGCCGGGCGAGCTATTTCATTCACAAGCTGCCCAAGAATTCCTAAATGAGACGAACCAGCAAAAAGAAGGCCCAGCGAAACCAACGCTGCAGTTTGAACCATAGGATCAATGTGGAGCTCTAAGAGTGTAGGCCCCATTAGAAACGGTAAATGAGTAACCATCATTTTATACATCTGCAAGAAAAAACTCTTTGCAAAAGTTTCCTTCAGAGGTCTCTTAAGAGAAATTTCTTAGGCTTACACGAAATTATATAAAGTACCAAAAGAAATAAAACTTGCCTGCATTTCAGAAGTTGCTCTTTTGCTGACTGCATATCCTAACAAGATTCCTACACTTGTTAACCGATCATCTCCGCTCAAAAGTTCATGAATCGTATACAAGTTCATGCTAGCTATGTGACCATTCAAACCAAAGGCATAAAGAAGACCGGCGCACACAGCAGAAGGCTGCAGTAAAGTAGGATGAAGCAAATAATAAAAATTTTAAACACAAAAAACTATTCACCTGTCTGCTCGCGCTCATAGACAGCCACTCACAATCAAGCCAAACAGCCTGGGAGCTCCCAAGTGCAAGACCAGCAGAAACAGCATTGTAAAATGCTCCCCATTCATTCATCATCTTAGTTGACTAAAAACATCAAAGGATAAGACAACGCATTAAAGATGAACTTTTAAAAATGGCAATCACGCGCGAGTTTCACATAAGTTAGCCTTTGGAGGTAAAATTTAGCCACAAACAAAAAACGATTAGAAAAAAAACAACAATATTTTTTTTAAAAGCTGAAAGTATTAAATCTAATCAAGGAAGAAAAACCTCAGACTGAGGTGGAAGTTCTATCTGCATATTTGCTGGGTGAGATCTTCCCTGCAAACACAGTTGCGGGACATCCAAAGTGCGACTCAATGATGGAATCATATATCTAAAGTCTGCAAGTCCTCGACCAAAACACTGAGCTAAGGTTCTCAAAGAAACGGCAAAAAGCAAGTGTTCTTGTCGCTCCCGGTATTCCGTATCTGATAATGCATCGCCTGGTGCCTGAAAAATTTTTTTCGCATTAAAAAGTTTCTAGATATCGTCAACTATTCAACTGTGAATTTGAATAAACTTAAAAACCCACAAACATTTCGATATGTAGAAGACCCTTCTTCTCCCCCCCCCTCCACTAAAGCTCGATTTTTTAGAATTATTGAGTAAAGAGTATGACTTATTGCCTCAAATCTCTAAGCAAAAAATGAAATATTTTATACTGTCGCTTCAGGCACAACAAGTCTCAAAAACAAATGAATACAAAGCATCAAAAAAGTAGCAGACTACGGTAATAAATACAGCAATGCACCAAACAAACTATTATTCCAATACTTGCTTTGGTTAATGGAATTATTCTAACCAGTGTCAAAAAAATTCAGAATTTAAATGTACGGTCCACTCTTCACTGGAACTACTACGTGCAAAAAAAAAAAAATACCATCTGGAGGAGATTAGCAGCCCCGCAATCAAACTTAAAGCTGAATTATCTTGAAGATTTTAACTGTTTACCTCATTTAAAGACGGTAAAAATGTTGGATGCTGACTGTCAAGCATCTGCCAAATATTATTACAACGCAGATCATTCTTCCACCGTAAACGAACAATTTTTTCGAGTTCTTCAAATGACGGAATAGAACTAAAAGTGAGTATCCAAATTAGAAATCTCGTTTTAAAACTCTGTAAAATCTAGACAGATAAGGACTGACCAAGAAAAATGTATTGAAGGTGGTGAATTGAAATAAGTGAGTGACCGAGTAACGCCAGAATACAATAATTCGCACAATACTAACGCAATGGAAGGCGGCAAGTCGAGTAAAGTGTCTTTAGTTATATTTAACTTGCGAGCACACAGCTCACATCTGTAATATTTAATAAATATTAAATACTGATGATTTATGCAAAATGTGAAAAAGAGAACTCCAATTGGCTCTAAACGACCAGCAAAACAAAATAAATTCTTCTACAAATGAAATTCTGCCTATAGAGTCGCAATTCTATCCGTGAAAATAAATTAAAAAGTTGAAAGTAATTTCCTAGTTCAAATGACAAGTCAAAGCCAAAATCAAGTTCATCTACAACGAATTTTTAAGTGGTCTATTCCAAAAGCAATCAGATGATCAAAATCCAAATCAGCAGTAAAAAAATAAGAAGTCCATGTGTTACATTAACACAAAAACCTTTCGTGTAGAAACTCAAATAATAAATCCAGAAAAGTTTTCCAAATGTTTCTGCTCAACCTACGCTTTCTCTTGCAGAAAAAACCACAATTCAAAGATCAAATTGCAGCAGCAGCACAATACATTAGAAGAAACCCCAGTGACCAGGAATGGAAAGGTCTACAGCCAAAAACGAAACAAGGATTAAATTGTTGTCTGAAAAAAAAAAAAGACAATCTGATTTGTCAACACGAGAGAGATTTATGACTGTTCCTTATAATGTTACCGAGTTTACAATAACACATCGCTGCCATTATAAATCAACCATGTCTCATTAAGCCACTCAATGCCGCAGTCAAGGATAAATCAGGTGAAAATCCAACCCCAGAAATAATTTTAGAGATCTTTTTTTCCAAAACCGTAGTGTTACTTCTTTCCTTGTTAATGCAAAAACACTGACTTTTATTATAAAACAGAATACAGTCTAAAGATCTTTTAAGATATATCATCATTATATTAAAAGTTAAATCTGTCTTTGAAATAAATGCTCATTGGGCCCTTTTACTACCACGGCTTATTTAAAACAACCACTCGATACGTACATGCATATATCCAAGTCAAAAATTCCTTTATTTACAAGCAGTAACCCGTCCTTCTTCCCAACAGCTCATTCAAAAAAGCATCAGCAGCAGAAGAAAGTTCAGTAGGATCATCCTATGCCAAATTGCGCATCTTTTCACTCAATATCTTAAAATTTTTTCAAACTTTGGTAATTGTTAGAGTCTCAGCCAACACACAGGAAGCCGAAGAGAGAACCTGAAAAGGTGAATTCTCCACCATGTAACACCTCCTCGATGTTGCGAAATTTGCCAAATTACTGGTTGAGATGCCTCTCTTCGGAGGCTTGTAATTCGGCTCGACATCGACAGAAATAGAAATTTTTGTTTCTTCGGATCCGTTACTTCTTTTGAATGCAAGCTGTTCGATTGTTTAATTCAAACAAATAATTAAATAAACAAAATAGAAACAAAAATTCAGAAAAACTCAACTCTTTTAATTGAAAGAAAATATTCTGTGTAGAATTTTTGCCCTGTAAAACGTCAAAAACTGGTGATCGTTTTGGTCGGGTTGAGAGCTGCGAGAAGAAAAAGAGCACTAGACGGAAAAAAACCTAATTTTATTATTTCATAAAAGCGACACTTATTAAAGCCACAGAAAGCGGCTATAAAAATCAGGGATTCCTCAAACATTGAAGAATTGTTTAAAAAGTTATATTTTACCCTAAAACAATAAAAAATTATTTGCACAGTAAAAGT